CACTTCCTCTCAGAAAATGTTCAGTAGCTTAGCCACGGCCTACACAATAGTCTCTTTGACCCCACAGAGCTCACTGAAGCTTTGGGCTCCTTTCTACTCCTCTTCGCACTTCCCAAGTATCTAACTGGTAAGACTTTGTGACATTTTTCAGGGCCCAGCTCAAACGATTAATAAATGTCTTGGGACTTACTGTTCTGTCACCTGGATTTTATACATACCTATGGGTTGAGAATATTAATTAACAGGTATGGATAGGTCCACATAAACAAATAGCAGCATCTAATTGTTCAAAATACAGCCTCATGGATTCCTCTTGCCCCATGGATCCTGGTTTGTCAGACCTTTCTAAGTCTACGGATGTGTGTTCTCCCTCATTTTTGCATGCAAAGGGCCTCTTCGAGTACCAGGCCGGAAGGGGATGTTCAAGGACGCCTTGCAGAGTATAAAGTAACTGTGATATATGAATCCTCATACTTCATTGAGCTTTTTAAGTCTAGGTTCTAAATCTTACTCTCATTTTGTGACATGCAACAAAGACAAAGATCTGACGAACATTAGCTACCGAAGTGGGTCTTCTCCAGCTGGTACTGGAGGTACCGTATCGACTCTTCGCTTGCCTTTTCCCCTTCCAGGAGGAGCAGTTCTCTCTACCTACCAGCAGACAGTTCGCTAAGTTGGGGGAAATCTGGCTCCACAGTTGCCCTTCCTTTAGATAGCAAATATGTGATTTCTTATGGCACCACTCAGAGTGTTTAGTTCAGGCATTCACTTAACAATGGGGTGCGACTGGAGCTGGGAACATGGCAGGTAAACATGGCAGCTTGATGTCACAAACTCGGATCACCTCTATTCTCTAGTCTCCCAGTGCTTTAAGAATTACCTAAAGCAACTTAGCACATTTTAAAAACAATGTTTATTTGAGCACCTCTAAATGTATAATTTAAGGCATCTAAAATATTAAAGTTGAAATATTTGCAATGGATATAATTTTATGTATTATAAAATATATAAATATGTGTGCATAAACTTAAAATTACTGTATCGTGTCAGTGTATGCAATAAAGTCTGAATGTAATAACAATGTCATATCTATGACTATGTAAAAAACATGAAAATATTTTTAATTT